GTCGCACAAAACGTGGGCCAGTAATATCTAAGTAGGGGATCGTTGACTCAACGAAGCCTGCGTAGGTAGACTTGTTATGCACACCATTCTATAAATGCACAAAAGTAGAAATACTGCAGAAGACGTTCATATACGGTATGATAATGGAACTAATAATACTCTATTTACCATCTAAGTAAACTGACCGTCGCTTGAGAAACAATTGACTAACAATAAAAATTATCATAACTTACTAATCTTCAGGAGATTCTTTGATTGATTATAGCCTAACTTTAATAACTAATATCAAATTAAATAGAAAAAAAATATTTTGATGTTGATCTCACATGTGATACAAAATAAATATATAATTGAACTTTAAACCGAACATTTGACATTTCTTGAAAATTTCCAACGACATTCCGCTACGGACTAAATTGGACACGAATATGTGACACGACATTGCATCGTTTACGGTCACTTATATTGCGAACTTGAACTTTATTCTCAACACGTGCGATCGTGCAAATCCAATATAAAGGGAATTAGCGTCCCGTGCTCGGTCAACATCGTTAACTTGTCAAGTATGATATGGACCAAGATTGCGGAGGCGAAATCAGGTCTATTCGAATGGTTCGCGTATCTTCGGCTACGAGTGGGCGAAGTGAGAACGATGTAAACGGGCTTAAAGTAAATGTGTTGGAATTGGAGTCGCGGATTTAGGTTTGATTTGAAACGATTTGGAGTTAATTTTCACTGTTGAATTACATAATGATTATAATTACATACAACGGTAATAGGTAATACCGGCATCGTGCTATTAAAAATAGTCAGTGAACCAAGTATTGGTACTTGGTATCAATATTGGTATTGCTGAGTCGAAACTTTCTAATTCCCAGCAATGGTTAATCTTACATCCTGTTTACAGACATTCCTGAGTATCTGACAGGCACAGACGGTACGTCACGTGTCGGAGGCTGTTTCGCCATTGTGCTGGTGTACACTTGCGCAAGAATCACGAGGCCTCCCACGTGGCGGGAGACAGGCTGGCTGAGACTCGTGAATCACGAGTTGTACTTTATATTTTACTCGGAACTATATTTGCATTCGCACCCAATTTAACATGAACATAAAAGGCATCGTATATTTTAGGAACAGATCCAAAATCATAGCTTTGTGTATTTCTACAGAATATGTACAATTTGTGGAATATCATGATAGGTACCTATATAAATTCTTAAAATATTTACAAACCCCTCAGCAATACTAAATTCTAACCACAGAGAATGTTTCTCTTTGGAATTCCGTCTAGCCAAGTAACTACACAAAGCTACTAAATAATACTACTTCGGGATTCATGACCGCAAACAGTGCAGTCCCAAATCGTAGAGCTGAAAGCAAAACTAACTAACAAACAACATTATGATTTTCCAGCACAATGTAAAATAAACAGTAATGGAAAGCCAAAATGAAAACAAGAGTTGTAGGATTAATCCAGTGATAGCTTTTCCAAGCACGTACAAACCGCATACGTTGCAAAAACATTTCAAAATTATACTTTAATGGAGACAAAAGGAGACAAAGAAACAAGTACGCTCAAATACAACAACAAAACTGAAAAAGTGTCTCTCATTGAAGATAACTGGTATAAAGTATGCAGCTGTGTGCTCGGTTTAAATGGGTGTTCAATATTTATTAGCCATTGATACGGCGAGCGATCCGGCGTGACGGCACCTGATGATTGGACGCGGTAGCTCGGAAATAATCGACGTCATTTTTGTAAACACGTTCGATTTACTTGAAAAGTTATGTTTTACTATGCTTTAATGATAACTCTTACATGTTCTAAGGTGATTTTATGTGATCTAAGGATTGGGAACTAATAAAATCAAAGTCAAAGCATTTATTTCAATTAAACCATAATTTGGTACTTTTGAAATGTAAACAAATACAAAATAAATAATAGTCTGTCAGTCAGTCGGTCAGTGAAGCTAGGTGAAGCTAGGTGCTCATTCCAAAATGTAGATTCGAATGGAGAAAAACGAGCAAGAAACTCCATAAAGCCATAAAGCTATACGTAGGTCACTACAAAAGTTTTGTCGTACTCCGTGAAATATTATTTTTTTTCGAAGTATTCTCCATTGGCACTTAGGCAGGTCTTCATACGTGCAAACCACGTATCAAAGATGTCGCTCCAGAATCCTTCCTGCACACTGCTGCATATCTCCTCAAAAGCACCTAAAAGTTGGTCATCATTAGTAAACTTGCGGCCTTTTAGTTGCTTTTTTACATATGGGAACAGGCCAAAATCACACGGTGCTAAGTCTGGGCTATAAGGAGGGTGTCCCAGTAATTTGATCCCAGTTTGACTCAGATAGTCCACAGTTTTGCCGGCTCGATGCGCGGGAGCGTTATCATGATGCAAGAACCAAGTGTCGAGTCTTGAGTTTGGACGTTCATTTTTCAAAGATTCTAAAACTTGAGGTAAACATTTTTCAGTGTACCAGGCAGCTGTCACAGTCTTCTGTTTATCAAGCACAATTATTGATAAAATACCTCTTCTGGAGAAAAATACGGCTACCATTCTTTTTTTGACTGACCGGGACATTTTAACTCGTCGAGTACCGGTTTTATAGACACAATTAAAGAACAATAGGTCGCGGTCACCGGTGACCGCTTGGTGTTTGACAGTTTAACGGACGTCGGAGGATCTTCGTCTTCAAACACCCACACTTTACTCTGGGATTTAGTTGGAACGTCGAAATAATATAGCCAGGTTTCGTCACCAGTGATAATTGAATTCACATAGTTAGATTTGCCGTCATTGAATTTTTTTAACATTTCTTTACACCATTTGACGCGCTGTTCCCTAATCGCATCAGTTAGCAAATGTGGTACCCAAAGTGAACAAAGCTTTCGTACTCCTAAGTTTTCATGAAGAATTCGATGAATAGTTGGTGCACTTAAATTGAGTGTTTCCTCGATCTGACGGTATGTTACATGGCGATCTCCTTCAATCACTTTTCGCACAGCCACAATATTCTTATCAGTGGTTGCGTCAATCGGCCTGCCCGGTCTTGAATCGTCTTCTAAATTAAAATTGCCGCGATTGAATTGTAAAAACCATCTTTCTATAGTCCTAAGGGATGGACAATTATCACCCAACACACCACTCATTTCTTCGAAGCATTGTTGTTTTGATAATCCACGCTTAAAGTTATACAAAATTATCACCCGAACGTCACGACGATTTAAATCTGACATATCCAATTGTTAAAAAATTCACTAAAAAAATACTAAGCTAGTTACTCCAACGAAACTTATGCAAAATATGTTGACATTAGTTGATGTATTAGAATCTACCCTCAGTTGAATTATAACTATTAACTATTTGTCATACGACAAAACTTTTGTAGTGACCTACGTATTATGAGGGTATTGTAGAACATAATGATTGTTTTTTATTTATTTAAGTTTTATACAATTGCATAAAGTAAACTTAATGCTAACAGCATTCTCTGCCAGTCATCCTCTGGGTAGTGCAAAAATGTATGTGGTAAATATTGTTCTTAATATAAATCTATTTTAAGATGTTATGTAAGAATCCCCCACTAAGATACATACTCATTTAATTCGGCCTTAATAACACGGAAAAGGAAACATCAGGAAAACTGGCGAAAACCTTTACAAAACTCCATGCCAAAGAAAAAAGTAAAATCTTTTCTGATACATACGCGCGAGGCATTTTTATATCAGGGCTCAATCGCTGAGCTGGGAATGAAAATCTACGGAACAGTATTGAAAACGTCAATTGCAACTGTCTACGAGCCCTACGTATGTACTTGTATGTAAACTTTGATGTTTATATGGAGATCAGCTACAAAATGACATAAGTAATATCAATCCCTATGTTACTAAACCTTAGATTTTGATCGAGTTTCAATTAAAAATACCCTTTATTTGAACATACACGAAAGGATTGCATGTCAGACAACACGGAACAAACACGGATTGTATGCTACAATCTCGACAACGACCGTGCTCAGCAAAGCGTTTATTAAAAATAAAAACTAGGAATAAACGCACCCCGCCCCGGTAGATTTGGTATTGTAGCATGAAATCTAATGAATTATAAATCTTGTTTGTAAAAAGCCTGTCGCTTGCTACTTTATTTATATTTTTAAAATACAAAAGGCTGGTCTTAATTGCTTTAACGACTTCAATACTTGCAGTTTTAAAAAATAATAGGTAGTAATCCAGTTTCAGACCGCCGAATTTTTAGCTTTTTAGGGTCAAATTACCAAATTCCAATTTTACAGTCGACAAATATTTAAAGACGCTCCAGTGATCTATATCACCGTATTCACCGTAAATCCATTGCCTAATGGAGACGGAGTTATACATTAAGATCAAAAGCTTTTATATTTACCTACACAGTGAATCAGCCGACGTCGACAATGTAAACAAAATTTAATACCTATTCTTAAGGTCGTGTTGAACTTGTTGATTTTACACATTTTAAGTAAGCTACATTAAAATGCCGTCTATTGACGATGATAGCTGTGCAAGACGCAAAAATTATCAGATACTAAGTTCAAATCATACTAAGTACATTAATCGTTCCTAAGTGGTAAAATATAAATAACCAGATAAAACGTGTCAATGTCAAATATATATTTTATTTTTACATAGTTAAGTGTTTAAGGAAATGACAATGCTTACCTTATCAGTACAACATGCATCGCACAGTTCATACACATTTCCTCTACTGTCTGATATTCATACAATTGCGTATTATGTTAGTAAAATCACATACCTATAACATTATTTAATATTATATCCTTTATAAAGGATGTACCCAAAAATGTAATAAAATAGAATTAAATCTAATAGCTTCTTTGGCAGCAAGATAAAAACCTGCGAAGATTTCAGACGGGTAACTAGAGACAAGCTGGGCACAATTGCGCCACAAATCCTCGTAAGCCTGGATCAACAGTAGGATCGAACAATGACTGTGAACAATGAAGCTTTGCCGGAGAACGATAATTCTGTATTGTTCAAACACGCAGAGTTGCTTAGTTGGTCCTTACTTCCCGCTGTTATACAAGGAACAAATTCCGAAGGACACCGTAAACGGGCGGGCTGGTTCGCTAGCCATAATAAGGAAACGGTTTGCGAAATTACAAGTTTTGAAACAAGCAAAATTGCGCCGAAAACAGAACATCTCCTGGGAACAACCCGTTTTGATTAGTTTGTTTAACACCTTGCTTTCTGTGCGTAGAGTTGAGTTTAAACACAAATATTTATCGTGTAGGCCTCGGGCATTATCAGAGCGGAACCTACCGCAGCCGCAGCCTTGGTTGATGCAAATGGCATGTTTACTTTATTGTGCCAGATCTCTCTTCACCAAACCTTTGTTGTTGGTAGGAGAATGTTCATTAGAAACACGTCATTTGATTTCGTGTAATAAGGGGAGCACCTATACGTACGCCATTAGACTTGATACGACAAGGCGTGTCAACTTTTTTCTCCTAATTAGGTACAAGTCTGTAAGGCCTAATCCAATAATACAGATGTCGAACGAAACACAATGTCACATTACGTATGTATAACCTTACCAAGTAACATGTTAATGGATGACTCATATTTTCCAGCTTATTGTAAAACATTGTTAATGTGTAACTCGACATTGGTGGTATGCATAAATTGGTTCTCGTTTTAATGTTTTTTGTATGCTCATGTGTTTCCTATATGCAGCGACCTTTTATTAAGCTGCTTTTATTTCCATAATTAATTTGATCTGCAGTTGTGTTTACATTGAACTACATGTCATGTACAGCTTGTTGATAGCAATTTTGTATCGACATGTGCAATTGTGTAGTACTAGAGGTATAATAAAAAGACATGTCTTAAATGGTCCTAAAAGCCCACGTAAGTCGGGCATTACATAACAAAGGTCAATTGATCCAGACCACCTGGATCTTAATCTAAATTCTCGGATCTAATTAATTCGAATACCCGGTGTAAGATAGAACAAAGGTCGCGTGGTTCAAAGGACCGAGGAATGATATCTCTTCAGTCCTCGGTAACGTATGCGATGCACTGAGAAAAATAAATTAAGGACAAAACACGATCGTTTCAAGAATGGATTTTGCTTTGTAAAGACCAATAACTGTGTACCTGCTCATACTGATAAAGTTTCAATGGATATTTATTGGGTTAAAAGAAACTGTATTTGAAAGAAGATAGAGTTTTATACTGCAACTTTAAAAGACCATGTCATGCAGTCGACTACAATAGATTGAGTTGAAAACTTGACTCCCCAAGCGACTATAATCCTAAGTTCTTTAACAAAGCTTTTCTGGCATATCGCCAATGCTGACTAAACTTAAAAATTCTAATCGCATTTTGTATAAAGTATCTAGTCTACAAATACTCCTTGCTTTCCAATCCTCTCAAGAAATAAGTAAACAATTTAGAGAGCTTCCCTACATGATTACTTATCATCATTAAAGCTGTGTACATACTCCACCGACCCTTTAATCCACACATATCCTCCTACACATAAATCTCTTGCATAGAGTACTAAATCACGTAGCATGCAGTTCAATCCCATGGGAGCGGCAAGCGACCATGGCAATTTATTCACTTGCTCCTGACTTATTGATACTGGCAGACTAGACGGAAGATTGTGAGCGACAAGAACAGATTGTGAAATCGTGACTTGGTTTAATACTCTACAATAATACAACAGCTTCTCACACTAGATCACGATAACAAGTGTGAAAAGTATGACGATCATGGTGCCAAAAGTCGACAATCTAATTATTCGTTGGTAATTAGAAAAATAATCGTGAAATAGAAACTAGACCGATTACTAACGATTTGTAATTATCCCGGTTTCATGTTTGTTAAACGTATGCAGCAGTAAATAGCTTTATGCAGAATTATCGTAGGTACTCGTGATGAGTCAGTCTTACAGCATTATGACCTAGAACTTGACCACAATAGGTGTTACGATATTGAGTTACATTAATGTCATAAAAGTATTAATGATGAACTCATTTAAAATTAATGCTTTTAATAATTAATATTTTATTTTCCGAAGCCGCAGAATCACAACTAAGAGAAACACAAACAACATTACCAAACAGATACGGAGAATCTCCCACATAAATTCAGATGAATCGTTAACCAAAGAATAATAAACATGCGAGAGTTTCCAAATTTCCACCGAAATCAGCGATTCGTGCATTAATTGCAACGATCAATTACAACAAAAGGTACAAAGTTCACTGTCGGTAAAGCTAAATATTTTCTCTAGATACTCTCCAACGTAAATTAACTTGTTTGTTTGTTTAGTCAAACGAAAGGCAAATCTTCGAATCAGAAATATTAACAAGCTTCAGTAATTTTAATTAGTCTTTGTTGTTCGAGCAAGTTTTAATTGTGACTTCAGAGAAAGTGTAGTTGTGTTTGATCTAGAACTTTGGTTATTTTACTACTGGGACAGAGACTCAAGGTTGTAAGTAAGTCTAGTTAGAAGTAACGAAACTTTTTGACGCCATCCGCGCGTCCCAGAGGCAAATAAATAAACCAAATTGTTAAATCGAATCACTGGTGCGTTCGATTGCTTTATATTTACACGAGAATAGTGTTTTGGGTAGTGCTAAATAAATAATGCTACTTTCGGAAAATCTAAGAAACTAGGAGAATTAAAGTGAAGTAGTGTGACAATAAATTAATCATATATTTTGCTTGTCATTTTCTTAGAGGAAAACGAACATGGAGAAATCACGTTTTTGTTAGTAAAGCTTACACCAGACGGACTAGGAGAACGATAAACCGATAAACATCAATAGGAAAAACGTAAGAATACCGTTAGGTAGAGAGAAGAACTTTGTCAGTTAATTCATTTTAGGTTCAGGTAAAACTAGAAAACGTTTTACCATTTTTTTGATATTGTGTCGCAACAAAGAGCTAATCCGCAAGCTCAGTAAGCAACGATCAAAGCTGCATCTGCATCAAAGAGCGCCTGTCTCACTAAACCATCTCGGCTTAACGATCGTGAGGCTGAGTAAACGTTGATACGTCGTGCTCCGTTATGTAAACAACATGGCTATACTTATATCAGTATTGGGGCACGTCTATCTACTCTTACAACATCCTACAATTTTGGGTTGGGATAGAAGATAGTTCACACGCATTTTTATTAAAAGCTTCGGGTAGAAATCAGCATTATTTACATCACAAAAAGGTACAATAATTATAGAAATTACAAATACGAATTAACAATATGCGTTTACAAAGTGTTTCGAAGAAAATATGGATAAGACTGTAACGTCAAGTTCAGTGTAAATTAAACAGGTGCGCCATAGAATCTGAGTCAATACAGTAGATATAATATCGCAGTGTTATCTACGCCGTATGTTATCAGACAAACTCATTCGTGTTTATCTACGTGCGTACTATGAACCACAAATATTTATGAACGATCAATTTCACAATTTCTTACCTTAACTGGTTCAGTTTTTTATCTGTGGAAATCCAAGTGACATTTTTTTGTTACATTGTCTGTGGCATATGCAATGGAAGTCTCATTTGCCATTTCCATTGTTTTTATCTCAAAATAGAGACGTTATTGTTGGTACTCATAATTGTTTTTATAGTATTTCAACATTTGTTTGACTAGACTCGTCTTTTGTAAGCTAATTGCTTTGTGAAAGTACTTTTGTTGTTCTAGGTTTATTCTTGCTAGAAAACCACTCACGAATACATATTCAACGGTCTTGAGAAAAAATGTTCGGGCTTACAACGTTCTAACATTAGTTACTTTCCTACTCGCTTTATTTGGAAGATGTCCGTTACAGATAGCATTTTCTGTACAATATTCAGTTTGAAATTGTGTAAACTCAAGTGAAATGTAATTATTTACCTCCATTGATGTGTTTCTCTATTAATAGCTGAGCAATCGAAACCGGTCTCACGGCAGAAACAACGTGAATGAACAGCTATTGTATGGATGCACTGCTGTTAACTGTACGACACTGAGAGGTCGACTAGTCAGCCTTGAACACTCCTAGCTAACAAGATAAAAAGAAAAGAAAGTTCAACAAGACGCAAGACTTTTTGTTAATTTTAAGGAATATGCAGTAAAACTAGACTTTAAACGAAAAAAGCTTTTATTTATTCCACTCTAAACAACAAATACACTTCATATACGGTAGATACGAAACCGCAGCGTGTTTCGGTAAACCCAACTCCCAAAATGTCCGTCTGTCGTATCAACTGGTCATTAATCAGGCATTCAACGTAAATAGGTCACCATGTTGTATTATAACACTGCCATCTATCCCTACGAATGTTCAATAGCGGATAATAAGGTCTTACACCAATTGACCTCGTGGTCGTGGTGCATCAGCAGATCATTCTGTCACTCCAATATTAATATTACGTATAAGGAAAAACGTGACTAAATTCTAGCTGATTGTGGTAGAAAAACAAACACGTAATGGTATTAGAAAACATGTATTATAATATAAAATGTGGTGATCTAGTCATCAGTATTATAAAAAGTGTGAATTTATTTACACAAAATTCCCGACTGCCAGTAATAGTTTTGAATAGTACATAAGTGTCTCTCGCTTCAGACCTCTAACCACATACAGCGCTTTAACTTTTACGATTATATCCTCCTATGTATTAAAACCGACAGTAAGCTACCTAGACGCTACCGTCTGCCATTAACAGCAAACAGTAGTAAGTTACTGTGTGTAATCACATCGTCAACTCAACGGTTTAATTGGGTACAGGCATCTATCATCAGATTTCAATATATTCCGGACTTTATTTATAGAACAATAAAGTTGGGAATGTATTAAAGACCTAGGAGTACATTGATCTGCTAGTGTCTTTATAACTAACGGGTAGTCACGCAAGAAAAGCGCGGAACCTTGTCATTGTTTCAGGTAGGGTTAACCGTTTTTGTGTGGGACCTAAATGTTTGAAACCCTTCGTTTAATGAGAAGCCTCATAATACGCAGACAAGTCTGTATTATATTCTCTCAGACGAATCTAATTAGGTGTTTGTCTGTGAATATGTAGGTAATTGGGAGACGAGGTCGTCTTTACAAAGTCATATGGATCGAAATATAATTATGTCAAACACCACATTTTCCTTATTTTGGAATTTCCTTGTTTTACCAATTATTATTTGCTAGTAGCAATTTATCTGTTTGTCATTATATGTTCCTTAAACCCTTTGTAACTACAAATCAATACGATCTTTAATTTATCTTTAACGTACACTTTGTAACACCTAATAATTTATACCTACATAGCGAATAAATCTATTCTATTACAATTCTAAATTCACTCAAACAATAAACCTTATGACTCATAAGGTTTATTGTTTGTCCAAAATATTAAGCTGTAAAATCGCTGCCCAAAAGGTAAAAGTTCATAAAATTACATTAAATCTGTAAACCACAATCATTTTGTGGGTATTCGATATAAAAGGATATTAGAATGTTTCACTTGGTAGGGTAGGCGTAAATTTTCACAGTCGTCATAAAGAATAATGGCGGAGTCACATAACCACGCTTAGGGACGA